GCATATATATAATCCAAACCATGGTTAAGGCCAGGAAGGAAGTAAGGAATACTGGGAGAGAGAAATCATTAGCTGTGGTTACTCCTGGGAAAGCACAGAGCATGGGAACAATGTTACTTTTCATTGTGCCTTCTCTACTCCTTGAATTTCTTTTTACCATAATCATGTATTGGTTTTATAAATAAAAACACAGTTGTAGAAAAATTGATGTCTGCTAAATCATAATCTCAGTAAGCTTTGCTTTTCTTCGTTGGTGTGAGGAACTGTGAAAAGGTTCAGGTGAACCCATGTTAGGTATAGATGTATTTGTGGGGTCAAAGTAAAGTTGAGAACATCTGTATTCCCATTTTGGGGGAGGCATGAGAATCAGTGAGCAGACACAGCTGCACCCCCGAGTCCAGGTGCCCCTGGAAAAGCCATGGCTACCCCAACTTCCCCAGAGAACGAGCTGGGTCTTCAACTTCTAAACCCCATGAGAAATAGTTCGGGGTGCCTGGGTGGCTCAGAGGGTTAAGCCTCTGCCTTCAGCTCAAGTCATGATCTCAGGATCCTGGGATCAAGCTCCCCAATCTCTCTGCTCTCTGCTCAGCGGGGAGCCTGCTCTCCCCCTCCCCCCGCCCCGCCCCGCCTGCCTGCCTCTCTGCCTACTTGTGATCTCTCTCTCTCTCTCTCTCTCTCTCTGTGTCAAATAAATAAATAAAATCTTTAAAAAAAAAAAAAAGAAAGAAAGAAAGAAACAGGTTCATCCGGGTTCAAGGCTGCCAGGAAGTTATCAGTCAGTCTGGTTACCCTTGAGAAATGGCAGCTGATAAATTACTTTTAATTAAAAAGGCAATATCAAGAGAGCCCAAATCCATGATTCACAGAGTTCTAAACCTACAGAAATGAAAATGAGGCAGAGGGAAGAATAGAAAAGCTGTAAAGCTGAGTGAGAAACAAGAGGGAGCCCATTAACAAGAGTCAGTGGTGATAAAACTCAGAAAGCAAGAATTTTAGAAGTGGAAGAAGGATTGATGGGCAGAAAGCCACAGAGGGAAAAGGTGCCAAATAGGTTTCTCTCCTCACTGAGCTGCGAACCAGAAGATTTTTTTTTAAAGCCAGTAATTGCAAATGGGACGTGTTTTCTTTTTCTGTAGTTAAATAAAGGGAATGGGATGTGAAATAAAAAGGTTTGGCTGGCTGAGAAGCCCCTCAGAGGGGAAAATGCCTCTTCTACACACTGCCTGAGGAACCAAATGGGATAATAATAGTTCCTCGTATCCAGATAGTTCTTCTCTTGTAGGAGGGCAATGCAACTTCTCAAGAGGGCTTCTAGAGAAGATTATCTGGCATTGTAGTTCTCTTTCTCCCTCTCAGTTGGGCTTGAAATCTGAGATTTCCGGGGCGCCTGGGTGGCTCAGTCAGTTAAGTGGCTGCCTTCGGCTCAAGTCGTGATCCCAGGGTCCTGGGATCGAGCCCTACATCGGGCTCCCTGCTCAGGGGGTAGCCTGCTTCTCCCTCTCCCTCTACCTCCCGCTCTGCCTACTTGTGCTCTCTATCCCTCTGTCAAATTAATAAATAAAACCTTAAAAAAAAAGAAAGAGAGAGAGAGAAAGAGAAAGAAAGAAAGAAAAGAAAAGAAAAGGAAAGAAAAGAAAAAGAAATCAATCTGAGATTTCCAAGTTGTAACTGCGGCGATGACCGACCCCGTGAGGGTCTGCGCTGCTGTGCGTGGGAGGTTGACTTTCTGCAGATGCTTCCGACTTGAAAGGTGCTCTTTCCCAAAGCACTTCCAGGAGAATGCCTTGTTGTTCTGTTTAACTGGATAGGGTTCATACAGCGTAATTCTTGGAAAGGGGACTCATTTATGGCTTACAGCCTGGACCCGTCACTGGAGTACAGAACTCCGGCGGCCCTTTCTCCACACGCGGGCCCCGCAGGCTTACGGTCAGTGTTGTTTAGAAGGAGCAGGAGCAAGAGCCATAGTTCCAGTAGAATAAGGTGATTTCCAGTTGAAATTCAGAATGTTCGACATCATCACTTTGCAAATAAAATTAATGACAGCTCTAACTGGACTGACCGACTGTGCTGGTTTGTGGGGGCCTGAGCGGGTTCCCAGGATGGAGAACTTCCAGTTTTAAAACGGGCCAATCTTGGGCCAACTGGGAAAAGTTGGTCACCTCATTAATGTGGACTGATGTGCATAATTCTCTCAAAGAGCCCCACAAAGAATCAGGCATTATTGCCCCATGTTTCAGGTAAGGGAACTGAGACTCAGAGGGTAAAGCAACGTGTCTCACAGCAGCTAATTGGTGACAGAGCCTTGCCCTGAGTGTCCCTCTGTGGGCCCCAAAGCTTGCGCCCTAAATGCCGCCACCAGAGGGGCTTGGGATATAGGGACTTAAGAAACTGCCAAAAGAAAAAACAGAAATTGCCCCCTTGTGCTTGAGATTAAAGCCATACATATCCTGTGGCTGTTCTGGGAACAACTATTTTGTAGCTTTGGACCCTCAAACGGGCGAGGAAATGAAGAATCAGCCAACTATTGAATTTTTTGCTTATATTTTTAAGCTTAGAAAAGGAGACTAAAATATAGAGCAGAGCATTTTCTGTGTATAATCTTTAACAACCTTTTGTGAAGTCTTGCCAGTAACTCTACAGAAAAGCAGTTACACTATTTGGAAAGTTTACATTTCCATCCCGGAGAGCTCTCGTACTGCCTACCAGTTTGAGGGGAAAGTTGCTGTCGAATAAAGCCTCTGTGTCTCCATGCCGGGTCCGCCATGCTGGTGCAGCAACGCCCGAAATGCAAAGCGGATGGAAATGGCCTCATAATTGTCGCACTTTTCTTTAGAAGACAGACTTGGTTGTGGGATTTCAGGAGTTCTCTGCTTTTAGGGAAAAAGAGACCCATCAAAGTCACCGCTTGCCCTGGTGCCAGTTCAGTCCTGGAAGAGCTGAGAAGACTAAATCCTTAAAACGGCATGGACTTCTGGTTGCTCAAACAAGGGCGCTTTGGCAAATGCAGTGTGCCCGTTCATTCATTCATCCACTAGTTCAACCAAACTCCAGAGGAGAGAGCCTGCTCCGTCAGACGCTGCTAGGCCCTGGGATCATAAGAGGAGAACAGTGAAGTCCTAGCTCTAGACATCAACGGAAAGGACTGAAATTGCAAGTAGTCAAAATTATCCCTTAAATGCCCCGCAGATCACCCATAAATTACTCTTAGGTCAGGTTCCCTAGAAGCGGAGCCTGAGAAGAGGATTCTTGGGCAAACCATTGATGGAATGAGACGTCTCAGGTGAAGCTCCTATGGTAGTCAGGGAAGCAGGAGGGGCAGAGGACCCAGGTCAGCAAATGCGTGAGCTCGGCTGAATCCCACAGGGGGTCTGAAGCATGAAGGGGTTCTGGAGCATGAAGATGTCCTAGATTTATATCCCCTCGAAGCAAAATGGCCAGTCTTTTGTATCCCTGACTATCAGACATTGGCTTTGGGCTGCCTCCAGGAATCAGGGTGTGACCTCTGTTGCATTTCTGGGCCAGGTGGCTCCAGTCAGATGAAGGCAGTTTTCAAAACCGGGTGCTACCCATACTCACAGCAGTTGGGGGATGGATGCCCCAGGCATATAAAGAGAATCTGGAGGGGGCATCACCAGCACCCGCTACACAGCATTCGTGTGACAGGTTACAAACTGCATATCACTTAGTAAGTCAAACAGGCCAGTTTCTTTTTCTCCAGTGGCCCCGTAGTCCATCCATGTCTTTGGATGCACTGTGGATAAAGTAGTTGGCTTGAATCAGGGGCCATATTATATTAAGAATGTGCATCTATCCATACTCACGCCCAGTATGGGGAGATGTTCCCTCAGGTGTGACATTGAAGTGTCATTATATAAAATGCTCATTGGGCATCAGCCCCTGTGGAGAGGAGGGATGGAAGTGGGAGTGGCCAAGGGACAAGGTGAGCCAGCCGGATGCGGCTGAGCAGCGGCTGACCCCACCCCATGGGGAACTCTAGAGCCCAGTGGCCTGTCAGAGCTGGTCTGCTTTGTGCCAAAAGGGCCAGATGTTTGTACCCTCACATTGGGCCACCATGGTAAGTGCAGGACCCGGGGTGAGGTGGCTTTCTGTAGCTGAGCACCCCACGGGGACATCCGGAAGGGATTTACTGACTGCACTCCCAGGAGCTAGGCAGCAGGTCCCCGTGGCTGGGGACTGGGCAGCACCCATCTCTGTCCCTCCCCTGTGGAGACAACTCCCATGACCCTCTCATGCTCACTCCAAGCATACAGTTGAGCAGAAAGGGCACAAAATCACTCCCCACTAGTTGAAGTTTACTCTTGAGGTGGGACACATGTAGTTGAAGAACCTACAGTTTAGTCCATGCTTTAGTATTTAATATGAACGCCGGACTGTTATCATTGGCTTATCTTCACTTTGAAGTGGATAGTCTGTCTTACTTTTTACTTACTAAATCTTTTTGTGGTCATTTTTTTTTTTTTTTTTTTTTTTTAGTGACAGGCATTATGCTGAGTACTTTAATGCATGACCTTATTTAATCCTTACAATAATCTGGTGAGGTGGGTACTATTATTATTCCCTATTTTACAGATGAGAAAACTGAGGGTTAGGTTAGAAAAAACTTGCTCCTGGTGAAATTGTCTAGTCAGTATTTGAACCACAAAGTCTTGCTCCAAAGCTGCATGCCTTTACTGCTTTACTAACGCAAACTGTGGAACCTTCCACACTACCCTTGGACGGACCTTCGCCAATCAGAGCAACTCATTCATTGGACAGTGTTTTACTGAGCATGCCTGATGCTAGGCTCTGTGCTAGGTCAGCATTAGAGTTGCAACAGAGAAAGCTTTGAAAAGGAGTTACATGCTTGTGTTCTAGCAGGTTCTTCTTCCTGCCTCTGTGTGTGTGTGTGTGTGTGTGTGTACACGTTACAATCTCAAGAGACAAATGCAAATTTGGGTATTTTCTACTAACTCAGTTCATGATGTTAAACTTTTTAACAGGCTAAAAGAGATGCTAAGCGAATGTCTGCAAAAGAAGTCACCATTAACGTTCCAGACAGCATCCGACAGGTGGACAGAAACCGAAGAATGGCGAAGAACTGCGTTAACTAGCAGGGCAGACGGACTTCTCTGTGCCCTCCACGTGTTGGACCCCACCAAGAAGACTTGAAGAAGTGGGTGGCCCTTGCTGGATGTGAAGAACGCTGCTGCCTTGAGAGACTGTACTTGGCAGCCCAGTGCCTGCCTGGGCTTCGGGGACATTCCCAGCCTCCCACTTACCACGTAGCTGTGTCGGCACAGCACTTGAATAGGGTACCAATCTGCAAACGTGCGGTTTGCCTCTTTGCAGCTCCTGCAGTGTGGTTTGCTGTAAAAGTGGTGAGTGCAGCCACAGGGGGGCGGCTGAAACAAAGTAAGAATAGGTTCCCTGGTGAGAGATGCTCCCGTGGGTTCTAAGCGCTCCTGCCTGGGCTCATGCGCACTGTTTCGGGTCAGCTCATTCTTTCGTTCTTTCTTCCTTTCTGAATACTGCCATCAGAGTACTGAATACTGCGTTCACTTAAAAGTTGTCTTTCAGGCTCTCTTCCTCGGCGCTGCCTGCAGAGGTGGCAGCCATTTGTTACTGGGCATCATGGCTGCCCTCAGACCTTTGGTGAAGCCCAAGATCGTTAAAAAGAGGACCAAGAAGTTCATCCGGCACCAGTCAGACCAATATGTCAAAATTAAGCGCAACTGGCGGAAGCCGAAAGGCATTGACAATAGGGTGCGCAGAAGATTCAAGGGCCAGATCTTGATGCCCAACATTGGTTACGGGAGCAACAAGAAGACAGAGCACATGTTGCCCAGTGGCTTCAGGAAGTTCCTAGTGCACAACGTCAAGGAGCTTGAAGTGCTGCTGATGTGCAACAAATCTTACAGTGCAGAGATTGCTCACAACGTCTCCTCTAAGAACCACAAAGCTATTGTGGAAAGAGCAGCCCAGCTGCCAATCAGAGTCGCCAATCCCAACGCCAGGCTGCGCAGCGAAGAAAATGAATAGACAGCTTGTTGTGCACGTCATATTTGTGTTAATAAAACCATAAAACTACAAAAAAAAAAAGTTGTCTTTCACTTGACTGCAAACCCAGATATAGGAGAAATCGAGACGCAGGAAGACTCCCAGATCTTGTTTCCTTAGCTCAGTAGGAGACAGATGCAGATCCCGTTTCACACCAGCTAACCCCCCCCCCAACACCCACAGCGTGTTTCGGGAGCTCTCTCCACAAGGCAGTCGCACTCATTCCTCATCAGCCTTCCATGTCCCCCCCCATCCCAGTGTCTACATCAGCCTCCATACTGCAGTATCACTGTCACCATGGTCGACGCACCCAACCTAGGACGCTCCAAGGGCTCAGCCACACGCTGCACATGCAGAGTTTTCCAGGTCACTCTGTGCTCTTCCGGGTTTCTTCTCTCCCGGTGGGTCATTTGCAACTGTTGATCAAAGCGCGGACACAGCTCACAAGAAGAAGATGACCCAGAACCCATCAGCAGCACTCACGGCTTCACTCTGGCCTCTCGGACACGGCATCAGGACGTGCCACCTGCTGTCTGCAAAGGAATCACCTTAGAAACCCCAGCCCTGGTTGCTGTACATTCACGTTGCCATGAGACCGATGCGCACCGTATTAATCAGAGGCGGGAAAAAATATCTTGATAGATTAAAGTTATCTAACATTTCTTTAAACATGTTAAGGTGGAACTGTCTTCCTCCAGATCAACGGAACATGATTTTTAAAGGACTGTTAACACACCTGGATTGGGAAAGGTATGACTAAAGGTGTATCAGACGATACCAATAAACTCCCTGTTTAGCAGAAAGAGGCAGCCTGATGGTGTGTGTTTATATAATATGGCCCAGAGAATTGACATGCCTAGATTAAAATTTAGAAACTCGGCCTCATTTCTTGCCAATTTTGTTATAACTCAAACACGAGCACATGGTACCCCTCCCTCCCTCCCCCCTTCCTTCCTTCCATAGACTGTGCGTTTATTCATTTAGCATTTAATACCAACCCTGCACCAGGCACCTTGCTGATGCTAAGAGATTTGGAGTCTGGCTGGTCATGCTGGTACATCCTGAATCTAACAGCGGAGTTAATAACTAGGGGATGACCTTCAACCCTAAGGTATAATTGTGAATCATTGCACAGTGGAACTCACTTTTACATTCAGAATAGGTTTCTCTCTTAAACCCTGGATCTGGGTGTTCTCCTGATCACTGCACAAGCCTTTACCCTACGCAAAACTAGTTTTTTCCCAAACCTCTGCTGTTTTGTGGTTCTTTGAGAAAGGGCTTTTAGGGAACTTCATGTTCTGAAAATGAAAACATAATGATAAAATAAAAGCAAAACCTGTGAATCCTGTGGCCCCACTGGCATCACTCAGCAGGAGCCCCCAACTGCCAAAGGTTGGAATTGATCCTGCAAGTTCAAGGGCTCATTCTCACAGGGCATGCGTGTTGTGTTTGTGTGGGGTGTTCCTGCCCCCGTCATGTGCTGTCAGTCTGGACGACACCAGTTTCTCTTCACATCCTTGTTTTTGCATCAATAAACTGCTACAAGTCGCTTGGAATTTAACTCGAGAGGGTGTCTCTGTTTCACATAGGAATAAGGTCTCACTCCTGGGGGAGAAGGGAATGAAGGGCAGGTAGTTGCTGCCCCTCCCTGGAACAATCTGGATCTCACAAAGATAGTGACCAGAAATTCAACCACGCTGCTGCAAATTCACCTGGCAACTTTTTCATGTGTGTTTGATACAAGAACTGATTCTCATGATCCTATTAACCTCACACTTTCTATTGCCAAGTTTGTGTCAATAAAGTCATCAATTTCAAACATATGGTCAATACAGAGAGTCTTTACTGGAAGCTAAAATTTGTATTCAGGGGTGTTCAGATTTTTTCTTCTTTGATAGGTCTTTCATACACGTGATCTCTGTGAACCCTTCAAAAAGCCTTATGAAGTAGGTAAGGAGACCACTGTTCTCCAATGGACAGTTACAGAAGTATTTATAGTCACTCAACTAGTAAGCGATGGAGCAGGGACTCAAGGGAAGAACGCTGCCTGCAAATCCAGTGGTTTTCCCAATATATAGCGTGGTCCTTTCCTGGCAAGAAGGTCTAACGTGCCTGAGAGATGGAGCCGTTTCACAAAGTCTGAGAGGAAGCCGAGCCCCAGTCTGAGGGGGTGCCAGCAGTGACTGGGGAGAGCTGGTGAGCTTGCGGAGTTTGGGTCTGGCCCAGGCTTCCTTATCCCTCCTGAGAGGGTGACCCTGACCTAGTGTGAGAGGGCACCTTTGGTGAAGGTCAGAAAGAGGAGAGACCTCACGATTTAGAGGAGTTTGAAATCGCACCCGTCGGAATAGCTGCTAAGACCTCAAGGTGAGCGCAGTGGGGGCAGCAAGGGACCTCCTGGAGCTGCCCACGCCCCAAGCGCTCCTTGGGTGCACAGGCTGAGGACCGTACGTCCCCACCCTTTCCTGCTACCACCTCTACAGTGCTCCCCACTACCCCAGGCTACCTGAACACACTTCTGTTCGGACTCCCTACTGAAGCCCTATTAACCTTCACCTGCTTATGACCCTCACCAGCCCCACTCACTGGTTACCTGACCTTCCACAAAGATGTATCTCATCCATGTTTGCTCCCCCAACAGGGTTCACAAACAGCAGCTCCTCTGCTGAACCAGACGGCAGACATGCTCTGTTTGCCTGTCATGCTGTTAAAACCCAAGAATTTCAAGAAAAAACCAGCTCCGATATCCATCTTCCCCTTTTTCCTTAGCTGGGCCCATGTCCACTTAGAAAAAAAGGTTATATTTTTCAGCCTCCTTTGCAGCTAGGAGTAGCTGTATGATTTATTTCTGGCCAATGAAATGAAATAATAGTGGGGCATGGAAGTTTCCAGGAAGTCTCCTTGTATAAGAATAGTCAGGCCCTTTCTTTTCTCCTTTTCCTTCCTACATCCTGGAATGAGGAGGTAATGGCTAGAGCCACAGCCATGTGCTGGGTCATGAGGTGACCTTGAGAATGGAAGCCATACTGAGCTAAGCAATCAATTAGAAATTTAGGTCCCTCATTCCACTGAGCCTCCATGAGTCTAGGATTGCACACCCCAGACCTCTTTCTGTGAGAAAGAAATATACTTCTACCTCATTTAAGCTACTGTTTCAAGTCATTACAATTCTAGTTGATATACAAACCCAATTCTAGTTGATATACAAACTTCATCTTCTTTTGATCTTACAGCCCTGGATGCTACTGTCATTCAGCCACAGTCGGCTGAACAGATAAGACTACATTAGCTGACGTTATGAGGTCTCTAGATTGTCATGGCTCCATCACTCATTGTGGCTTACACACGATTGGCGTCACCTGCCTGAGCCCTGAGACGCCGGCGTTTGTAACTCCTGCTCTAAATTGTGTTCCCAACACGCTGTTTTCAGGTTCTTTTCAGGAGTCATCAAATATAGAAGGTCCTTTTTCCCCATTCCACTCACCAGTCTGGAAAGCCAGTCTTGTAAGAATATTCTGGGTAAACAAATTACAAATGTGACTTAAGGGACACCTGGGTGGTTCAGTCGGTTGAGTGTCTATCCTTAGCTCAGGTCATGATCCCAGGACCCTGGGATTGAGCCCTGCATAGGGATCCACACTGAGTGGGGAGCCTGCTTCTCCCTCTCCCTCTGTATTTCCCCCTGCTTATGCTCACTCTCTGTCAAATAAATAACTAACATCTTAAAAGAAAAACCCGAACATGACTTAATATTTAAAGTTATGTATTCACTTGTGTATTGTTCAAGTGATCAAGTGTATTGATCAAGAAGCTTCAATGTGTCAGAAGTTGGGATACAGTGAGGAATAAAACAGAGCTGGCCCCCTGCCCTCATGGAGCTGGCATTCTAGTGAAGGAAACAGACGAAAAGAAATAAATCATCACAATAATGTAACTTGGTGATAAAGGAGAGGCGCCTGGGTAGCTCATTCGGTTGGGCATCAGACTCTTGGTTTCAGCTCAGGTCATGATCTCTGGGTTGTTGGATAGAGAACAGAGTCAGAGCGGGGTGTGTGCTCAGCAGCGAGTCTGCTTGAAGTCTCTCCCTCCCCCTTTCACAGATGAAGAAACCAAGACGGGAAGGCGGGATGCCACAGCTAGCAAGCAGGAGCTGGCATACGCCGCTCTGTGAAAACCCGTGCTCTGTCCATTGCACCGTGAATGTGAATTTCCTTCCTGT